TGGGATTAGCACCTTATTATCAGTCTGAGCATTTCTCGTCTGTTTTACAAGTTCGGTGACCTTTCCGACTTGGACTTTGGCGACTGGTTTGGGGTCATCTTCTTTTTCTTCTTCACCTTCGTTATCCATCAGTACAAACTTCTTCTCCAAGAAGTCAAATCCCAATAACACCTGGACGTCATCACATTTCGGTCGGACGTAGAAGGAATGTTCACTAGTCTTTTTTCTTAAGGTCACTGGTGCAACGCAGTAATGTGTCACCAGGAATCCTGACGTTCCGCTGATTCCGTTAATCTTCACCAGTCTGTCTGGTGGCAATGGGAGCATATGAAGTCCATTCTTCTCGCAAAACGGTTTGCTGATCAGCGACGTCTCAGCGCCGGTGTCCAACATTGCGTTAACCTTTATGTCTCCCACTTTCACTTCATGTGTGTACGCTTCAATTCTTTTGGGCAATTTTCCGTTTTGAATCTTCAATGTGTGTATCTTGCATTTCACAGGAATTAACGATACTGGTCCCGGATCCATATCGGGAAGCACTTGCCCTTTCGCTGAAGTACTGTGACCTTTCAGTATTTCGCTCAGCTTATCAATCCTGTGTGGGACGTTAGTTCGAACGTCGTAGAATTTTTGCGGCTTTTTCTTGTCTGCTGGCTTCTCTGCAGCCGTTTTACCACTGGTGACCTTTTCAACATTCTGCACTTGCTCATTTGCTTTTGTGCCAGCCACGTGACCTTTAGTTACTTCATTTATCGTCTCATGGATCAGTTCCTCTTTGCGGTTTTCGTTTCGTTTATCTCGCAGCTTCTCAATGACTTCACTTGTTATTTGGTCAGCTTGCTTCAATTCATCTTCTTCGCTATCTTTCATCTCATTTGGTGACCTTTTATATGTTACCATGTCATATCCCTTTTCGGTCATCCATTCAATCACCTTTGCAGACACTTCATTGTTCGTTTTCGTTGGATCAGTTTGCGAAGACATCCCGTCTGTTCGGGCTGGTGACTTGTCATTGGCGTCCTTTTGTAGTGCTTGTGAGAAGTCCCGTGACCTTTCAACTGCGCTACTCTGTTGCGTTTGCGCCATCTCATTTAGCCGTTCCTTTTGTTCATTTTGCGCTAAGTCCTGTGACCTTTCATTGCGCTTCATGACAAATCCGCCGCCCGTCAACTTTTGTATGGGAACTTTTTCTCCATAATTCGGCGGTTTATCTTCCGGCGGTGCGTTTCGCGGGTTATTCCGGTCAGCTTGTGCATTCTTGTATTCAGTTGCGTTGAATACTGGAGCAAGGTTCGGTGACCTTTTACCTTCTTTCCCGGTAACCAATTCTTCCAGTCGTTTTCTCTCATGTTGCGTTCGCAGTTCTCGCATGTCCCAGTAATCTTCTTGTGACATTCCCGCTTTCTGCTTTGCTTTTGGCGTTACGGGTATCCACATCCCGTGATTCCCATTCGGTCTGTAGGCTGCCTTTTGCCATATTTCCTTCCGTTGCAGCGTTACTGCATCCACAAGTGAGTCATCGGAGTTCTGCTGTGCCGGTTCGCTATTATTCTTCTGCGCTGTTCGCAGCGTCAAGTCTTTTTCTTGACCTTTTAACACGACGCTGTCGCCGTGACCTTTAGCGTTCGCACTCGCTCCTTGACCTTTCACTTGAACTTTTCCTACGGAAGGTGACCTTGCATCTCTTCTGTTAGCAGTGATATTCTGCTCCGTCCATTTTTGCCTTATCAACTTCTCATCTTCGTCCTCTGAGCAATTCCAGAACTTTGGCTTTATATCTCCGTAACAGTCACAACGTAACTCATTCGCTTTGTTATTTTCTGCCAAATATTTCCGGAATTTCGCATGTTGCTCATTTTCTTCTTGTGTCGTGTCGTTCTGCGGTTTCTTCTGGTTCAACAGTGCCTGTTGAATCTTCGCATTGCGTAATGCACGGCGTTCAGCCAACACCTTTTCGCTGCAATACGGTGACCTTTCATTTTGCTGCGCTGTTCGCAGTGTCGCGCTACCGTCACGACAATTTCCACTCGCAGTACCATTCTGCGGTGACCTTTGGTCCCGTTGCGCGTTTCGACTCGCAGTACCATTCTGCGGTGACCTTTTATCCGCTTGTACTGGTTTCCCGATAACCAGTTCGTTTTGCTGCTGTGACGGCATCCTTATAGCCGTTTCAATTTCCTTTTGCAATGACGACATCCATTTAGCCGTTTCAATTTCCTGTGGCGGCATCCATATAGCCGTTGCCTTTGTCGCATTCACTGCAGTACCATTCTGCAGTGGTGACCTTTCCGTTCCCCGTTTATCCGGTGGTTTAGGGTCGGGTCGATCAGTAGGCTCACCGGCGCCTACTGATCTTGCCCGTTTCCCTGAACCGGCGCACCTCCTTGTTGAGCGCCTTGAACATTTCCTTGTACATTTCCTTGTTGTTGTCCGATATCATTAGCCGAGTTCATATTCTGTCCGCCGCCGCCGTTGTTGTATTGGCCACCACCCTGTTGGTAATTTCCTTGGCCACCTCCATTTCCACCGTTTCGGTTGCCGCCGTTCCAATTTCCGCGGCCAAATCCTCTGTTTTTCCCTCTGTAGCCACCGCGGTAGGCGCCACGATTGCCACCGCCTTGGCCACCTCCATTTCCGCTCCCGTTTCCATAATTCCCATTCCCATTCTGATTTGGGAAGCTGGCTTTATGCTGGTACCATTGGGCGATGATGTCATATCCGTTTCCCACTGCTTGACGCCAACCACCCAGGCCGCGCAGTCGTTGCCATTCTCTGAAGGCAAACAGATTCGGGTTCTGTTCTGGTGGTGTGTTCGCGAACTTGCATCCTTGCGTCTGGTGATTGCCATACATACAGTATTGGCACATCTGCGCATTGTTCGCCACCCATCCGTCAATCATCTGGAACTTGAATTCAGTTCGTGACCCTTGATTCTGCTGGAAGTTGTTCTGATTCCCTCTGTTCGGCTGAAAGTTGCCTTGTCCTTGGCCTTGATTCTGGAAGTTTCCTTGACCTCCGTTCCAGTTTCCGTTTCCATAACCGTTTCCACCGAAATTTCCGTTACCCATTCCTTGTTGTGGTAACCCAGTATTCATAGGGGCCACATTCTGTGGTGCTGGTGGAGCCACATTCTGAAGTGCCGGTCTCACTTGAGCCGCCGCCTGTATTGCAGCTACCATTGCATATGTAAGTGGCTGTCCCGTCTGGCTGTCGATAAAGGTCACTTCCTTGGTGACCTCTTGCATCGGAGCCTCCCTTCGGTATTCAACCGGCTGCTGAACTGGTGCTGCCGCGACCCTTTGTTGTGGCACCGTTTCGACTTGTCCAGACCGGATGGTCACGTAATCTTGGTTGCGTTGACTTTTGGGAGCCTTGTATTTCTCTTCTCCAGCTGACCAATGTCGGAAGAAGTCTTTAATTTTGGTTGGCGTTCTGCACTGCTGTGTACGCAGTGCCTTATAAAGGTCACTGTCGATTCTGCATCCTTCGATAAGGAAGCCGACTGCTTGCTTCTCAGTAATGATCCTTTTCGCCTTGTATTTCATGATCGCTTGATAAAACTGGTCAAGCGATTCTTTTCCAAGGTCGAATTTCCTTGCCATGGCTTCTCGTAAGCCAAGGACTTCTTCATCACGGTCGCCATATTCATCCTTGAATTTGGTCATCCATTCTGTAACCGTATATTCGATCTCTTCCTGGAGTGCGATTTCTCTCTCTCCTTCGAACCAGATTTTTGCCGGTCCCTTCACCGCGCTAGCTATTTCGATTAAAATTTGATCATCAGTTAGTCGGTAGGTTCGCTGCGTATCCCTGACCAGTTGTGTCCAGCCATTAACTGCATCGCGACTTCCATCAAAGGTCACTAACGTCGTTTTCCGAGCCATCGAATTGAGCGCTTTTGTCAATTGCGCCGCTGTGGATTCTGCTGTCGGGTCATCCTCTTCTTCGCTATTTTCATCGTCATTTTGGTTTCGTTTCGCCTTTCCGTAGCGGGACTTCCGTAGGCGCTCTTGCCGGCTGGAGGGTCTGTCCCGTCGGGCTTCGTCGATGAACACATTCGTTTCAATATGCGGGGGAAATTGGGAAGGATCGCCCCGAATCATATGCGGGTAACCTTCCGATGGTGGCTCTTTGTCTTCTTTGACCTTTTCACCGTCCTGTTCTGCTTTAACATTTCCTCTGCCGGTGCCAGTTCGTAATGGCATTTCAAAATGGAAGCTTTTGCCCGTGCCCGTTTCATGCGCCTTGCTGTAACTGGGCGGGGGAGACTCCACTGTCGCAGTTCGAACTCCATATTGCAACAACTGTTCGTCCTTGTGTTTTATCGACATGTTGAGCGCCTTATTTTCTTCCTCGAGGCGTCTGACTTTAAGCTGGAATTCTTCTTTCTCAGTTTTCAAGTTCTGATTCTCCTCCTTGACCTTCAACATGTGTTGATGGAGTTGGAAAGTCTTCTCCTGAATGACCTTTTCAGTGTCATTCTCCGTCCTTTTAATGTGTTCCGCCAACTGGGTCACATCCCTCTCCAACTTCATGTATTCCTCGGCTGCTGCTTTCAGCTGATTTTTCGTCTGGGTGACCTCGTCTTCTCTTGTCATCACTGTTTGGGTCATATCAATCAGCTCCGTGTTGAGCTTGATGATCTCCTGTGTCTGCTGGTGGACTGATTCTTGCCACTCTTTGTCTTTCAGTTCGAGCGCCGTGACCTTTACGTCCAAGAGGTGTGCCTCGTGTTCCCACCTCATGCCCTGTTCGGCAATTGTCTTAGCGGCTCCTTTCAACTCGGTATTCTCTTCGGTGACCTTTCCGATGTTTTCTTTCAGCACCTTATTCTCTTCCATGACCTGTCTTATTTCATTGCTCAACCGTGCGCCTTCGGTGGCTGTAAGATCCCGCAGGTCCTTAGCCACTTTGACGGCATCGTCGGCTCTTCTCTGACGGTCCTGTGATTCCTTCTGGAGAGTTCAGATGCTCTCATCTCGCAGCTTCAGGTCGTTCCTGAGCTTAAACACTTCGGTAGTGTTTATCAACAGTCGCTAGGTTGCCTCAGCGAGTTTGGTCGCATAATCGTCCCTCTTAGCTTCGGCTTCGGTGACCTTCTGTTTCAACGAATCGCATTCGTCTTTCAATTCGGCTAAGTGTCGTGACCTTTCCGCTGATTCTTCCGACATACCCTCGTTAAGGTCATTGACTGCAAGATGACCTTCCATTTCTCTGTCATCTACCATCTTCAGGTATTCTTCCGCGAGTTCTCTTTGACGTTCATATTTGATTTTCCATTCGTCCGCCGTGCTCTCCAAGTCAACCTGTTGTTGTTCCAATTCATATATTCGGGTTTCCAGCGACGACAGTTTTTCCCGGTTTTCTTTTGTTCGTTTCATTGCCTGACTTTCCTTGGCCTCGAGTTCGTTTTCCAGCTCCCTCACACGAGCCCGCAGAGTCGTTGTGGGACTGTTTGGTGATGGCGGTCTAACATTGATGACCTTTCCAGTTTTCGTTCGTTCAATAAGGTGCTCGGGTATGTCCTTAAACGGTGTCATCTCTTCAGCACGGTCAGCTTGTCTCATCGCGGATTGGAACGACATATTCATCGTCGTTTCATCATCCGTGAAGTACGATTCATTGGATTCATCTGAGACCATTGGAGTTGCCCAAAGGTCATCGTCTGCCGTTTTGTCATTCAATGAAAGGTCATCCAATCCAAGTTCAGCCAATTCCTCTTCGGTGACCTTTGTCTTTCCAGCAACCCTTTGAGCCAGGTTCACGTTTTTATCCTGCTCTTCTGTTCTGACAATGGTAGCATCCAACTGTGATGCCCCAACTGCCTCCGCTTCCATTTTTGTGGTTCCATCCTCACCAGTGACCTTTTCTGGTTCATCGGTTTACTTCCCGCCGCAGACGCGAGAGTTTGCTTTCCGTCTCCGCTGGAGCTCTCTTCGTTCTGTGTAGCTCCAAGCGCCACTTGGTATGTGCTGTCGCTGCCTTTGCTGTCCTTCCTTGCAAAGGTCACGGCCGCTCGGGTCTGTCTGTCATGTCCGACTGGACGTGCGAGCGACTTGTATTCCTTTTTATAAGGATCAACTGCGCTTTGCTGTGATCCTCGGGAGCTCCTGCTTCCCTGGCTGCTGTTAGATGTCGGTTCCGCATTATCTTTGTCTTTGTCCATGATGATCGGATAACTTTGGACGCTCCTGCCAATTGTTCTCACACGCACGTTATTGTATGGTTTATTTAATTCACCTAAAGGTCACTTTATGTTCTACGAATTTATTCTAAGTCCTTGTTAAAGGTCACTTTTCGGTTGAAAAAATTCGACTAAGTCCCGTTTAAAGGTCACTTTTCCGGTAAAAAGTTCGAGAGATTTGCCCTAAAGGTCACTTTTCAGACAAAACTTCGAGAGCCTTTTTACAGTTCAGAACACTTTTACGAATGAAATTCTACAGCTGCTGATACCGCTGTACCACTAATTGACTAAATTTCAACTTCGTTAAAAGGTCACTTTTTGGGTCAATTTAATCAGTTCCAACTTTTTGGTAAAGGTCACTTTCCAGCTCAATTTCTGTTAAAGGTCACTCTCCAGCTCAATTCAAGTCAAAGGTCACTTTCGAACTCAATTTCAGTTAAAGGTCACTTTCCAGCTCAATTTCTGTTAAAGGTCACTCTCCAGCTCAATTTTGGTTAAAGGTCACTTTCCCTTTCAAATATCTCGTCTCAATTCAAATTTCCCTTTACTGTTCAAGTTCAGAGGAAAATCCCCATTTACATTGTTTACTTCATTCCTATTGGTCCGCTAATTCAATTTACTCAGTTCAAATTCAGACCAATCACAGCTCAGATAACTGACCAATAGCGTTAGTCCACTTAGATTTTATATCAACCTGACGTCGCGGTCAACGGCCAGACATGCGTGCCGCGTGCAAAACTCCGCCTACTTCTATGCTCAGCTCAGTACGGACAATTAAAAATTGACGATTTTACCGTCTAACCAATCCCGTAATTATTAACGGTTTTCTACCTGTTAACCGTCCATCCTTTCCGCGTTCCACGGGAAAAATGATCCGAATGATCCAGATTCTTCTTCCAACTCCGCTCCCGCGTCGCCGCTGTTCCGTAGCGTGCCTCGCGCTATTAATCTATTACTGTGCCGGCTGTGCCGTAGCAACAGTAGTGCTCTACAACCAGTTTGGAGGAGTCTGATCTGTCTTTTCCCGTGCGCCCCTTTCGGCGCTTCGCCTCTTGTGGCCCACGGCTTAGGCTTCGCTGAAGCCTTGCCGAGTATCGGTGACACCAGTGTAGGTCTTCGCTGAAGACTCTACACCGAGGAACACCGACGACTGAACTCTTGAACTCTTTCACAGCTGAGGAAACAGCACAGGTCTTCGCTGAAGACACTGTACCGAAAGCCAAAGCTAGTAATCCGCGTCAGATGAGGAACTTGCACCACTTGTGGTGTGCGCTTTGCTGTGGAACAGACCTGCGCCTTGCTGGTCGCGGATAACACGTTGAATAACAGGCCAAATATGCCTGACAAATCAAATCAAATCAATCAGAGAACCGCTGTCGGCTCTGCTACCATCTAAAGCTAGATCCAGAATGGATCCAGGGACGGAGACAGAAACGGAATCTATCCCGTGGAGTGAGCAATACGATCTGGATTGCGAGTTATGCGGAAACACAAAACGTCGCACCGTAATCGCTGACTTTTAATAATATTGAAAGTCTGGAGACCAGAAATCAACAAGTGATCGGCGCAGCTCGATCGCAAATCGTAGAGCCTATTCAACAGTGTGTAACACTGTGCAGCACGTGCTAAGCCGCGCCCACTAGCCAATCAGAGCGAGACACAACACAGACACGTAATCCAGCTGGCGTAGCGTCGCGGACGTGAACGCTAGTGAACCCCCGCTCACACTGGTGTTTCTCGATTCTGGTAATTGTAATCACAGCTTTCTTCGTGACCTTGCATCCTTTTCCAACCTGAACAGTCGTAAGCTCCCTCGAAGCGCTGAGTAAGCAATTGGAGTTGAGATGCTTTATGAGCATCGTTTTAATATATAGATATAAGTTCGCTCCGTGATCCATTAAGACACTGATTTAACGGGGCCAGGACAGCCAGAAATAGAAAAACGCATTTACTCGTAAAATGCATAAAAATGATCCGCAATAGTGTATTTTCGGCACAGCAGAAGTGCTTTAGGCAAGCTAGGTCGGATTATCTTGTTATCTTGACCCCATACATGACTGCAACCGTATGCAGGTACTTGCATCATTCAAAGAGCTTAGTCACACAACAAACCGTAGTTAACCATTTCATTAATATCTTACGATTGTGGCGGGAAGAGAAGATTACAGAACAATAATCCCCTTACTGAACACTTGAGCTTTATCGGTTGCAGCGTGAGCATTATGCGTGACTAGATAGAACTACCTGACATGAAACGCCATGAAAATTTAGGTAGTAATCAGCGTGATTTGCCGACAGCATTGTGGTTTACCTATGTGGAGTTGTTTCACCGCGTTTTGATGTGGCGCCAGTTGCAGCGATGTCAAAGGATTCTGTTTCAATTTTCAATGAATACTATGGAAAAAATTGCGAATATTCATACCGTAGGAAAAGTATTGTGGGCATGGGAGGCTTCGGCTCGGTGTACAAAGCAACGCTCACGCAGCCTAGTGATTTCGATGGCGGCGAAGTCGCAGTAAAACTCGCCAAAATTTCCATGGAAATAGGAATTATAAATGCAGCGGAAAAGTTGAAAAAGAGACGTGAGAGATGGCAGAAATTGATCAAGCTGGAGCATCCCCATTTGATTGCATACCATAAAAATAATTTCTGTTGGTTATGCAACCGGTGGATCTATCGTCGACGTGGAATATTTGATGGACTACTGCAATGGTACAACATTATTCGTCTTCTTACTCAGAAGTTGAAAATTTTTGCAAATTGCTCCACTTTTTTGTAGGTGGTGACCTGGAAATTCTGCTTGGTCGAAAGAAGAAAGACCGCATGGAGGGCACCACGCCCTTTAGCAAAAAAGAAGCCCTGTGTTACGCTGTGCAGATAATCGAGGGCGTTAGCTTCTTACATCGGAACAATATTACGCACGGAGACTTGAAACACCCAAACATTCTGGTCAAGTACACAAAAGAGTGGCATCCGCATTTGCTAATCGGTGATTTGGATGACCTCATCCAAATAGAAAACAGTATTGCGTCTCGCAGTATCACCAATATTTGTGGAAGTATCCGCTATATGTCTCCCGAAATGCTGAGGCACTTTGGTAATGGAAGCCAGCAGTTTTGGGAAGAAGTCAGATATCTGGAGCCTAGGCTGCATCCTTCATGATATAATAAACTGCTGCTTTGCGATCGAAAACAAAGTTCTTGCGAAAGAGGAAGACGTCATAGAGGTAAATGGCAGTTACAATGGTTACGTGTACGCCTGGCATATAATGAGCGGCTACGTTCCTGTAATTGACGAGAAGCTCGCATCGCCTTTGAAAGATATTGCTGTAAAGTGCCTGCGAGTTAACAGCGCCGTCAGAGGAACTGCCGATGAATTATTAAAAAGTTGCAAAATCAAGAAATTGGTCTTGTCCACCGAAACTTTAAGGACAGGTGTAGAATGCTGTATATGCGGAAGCGAGAAAGCCATCGCAATCAAAAAGGATGCTATTAACTGCACAGACACCGTCGACGGATGCGTTAGCTGTGCTTATCCTGAAGCTTATTTACAAGTATCAAGCAAGCTGCAACTTACCAGAACCTAGTCGGTTTTCGAAGTTCAAGGAGACACCATCCAAGATCAGCTTAATGGGGCGGGTTCATCTCACAAACCAAAATTCATCGGAGCAGAGAATTTAGAGAACAGAGTAATGCTCTCGGCATCGGCGACGAATCAGTTTAGAGATTCGATTACAGAGCCCCAAAATAAATCCGAGCTTGCTCTAAATTATGTCCCAAATGAAACGGTTCTAACCGTTTGTCGGACAACGACCTACCAGAGCAAGCCCAATATTGTTGCCACCTTATGCTGCGTTAATGTTTGGCTTTTTATTTGTTTGCTGTTGACGATGGCAGTTTTACTGCCGCAGTTATTGCTGACCAATCACCATCCACCTACATTCGAAGAATCATTCAAGCAGGGCTTTGTCACCTCCAGTTTCTCGCTGAATCATCTCGTTGGGCAACACGAAGAACTTTAGAATGGAGAAAGAATTGGTGAAAGTGTGTCATCAGCTTCCAGTTTCAGCCAAAACGCACACTCGTGCACAACACGCTGCTTGGATCAACAAGCAAAAGATTTTGTAAAGTTGAGCTTGCTCTGTGCTTATAAAGCCATCCCTAGGGGGTTTTCCATCCTCTCGCTTCCATGCGTTTTTATTCTGGACCTGCATTACAGCTGCGCTGGTTGCGAAACCCGTTTATGCTTGTTTGGTTCTTTTGTGTTTTGCGGCAGTATAAACGTCGATATTACCGGCAAGATAGATTTTGCCCTGTAATTTGATTTCTAGTTGTTCCGTCGTAAAGTTTGGCGTCAACTGTTCACAATTTGGAATATTGCATTGTTCATAGACGCATGAAGAAATAAAAAGAAAACTGAGCAAAAACTAATAGTTACTAATCATGGTGACAATTGTACTTCGCTTTTTCTCATATTCCGGTGACTTTGAGTGTATGATTTCATATTCCGGTCACCGGTCACTGGTGCGACCGCACATCTGGCGCGCTACATGAATAGGTGCTGATCGCGCTGTCTCTAGCCACACGTCAAATGTGCAGTTCGGTGGCGTTCGCTGAGCCAGCCCACTCTACCCTCACACTTTTCAGGGGTCCATTAATTTCATTTGTTGAAGTTCATGGACGGAATGGCCCAGTGTTTTGCGTTTCACCCGGTTCAAAGTTTCTGTTAATTGTTTTGTTTTTTATACAAATTTATCGATATTTTACGTTCAGATTTAATGAGAGAAGTCGTTTCTATAAAAATTAATGATTTTTGTGAACTTCGTTTTGTCAGGAAACTTAACTTTCTGGTGACCGAAATATAAAACCATACACTCGAAGTGACCGGAATATGAGAAAAAGCGAAGTACACATAATTCCAGTACCAATCAGCATCACTGTGCTATAAAAGGCACATAAGCTTAAAGAATAATTAAACCGAGTCAAATGTCTAAGAAAAACATGTTATAAAAACCATAAGATTGTAACCACATACCAAAATATGCACAGACTAAAAACATACTATCCGGTTCGTGCTTCTACTCAATAGTTCGCAAGACACAAGCACCATTACCACGCTGAATTTCTATACCAAAACATTGTAACAGAAAATACTACGTATGTACAAATTTCACCAGTCACCCCTCTGATGCATCTGGCCAGCTCATTTTTAAAATCCATGGTGGGAGTGCCGCAGCTTCCCATTGTGTCTAACGCGACGGGTTGGATAATGTAACGGTCAGCCAAGTCAGCATACTTGCCACACTTCCGGTGTTCGGTGTGTATACAAGTACTGTATTTTCACAAGTTTAAGGAACACGAAAATGCCCTAGGTCTGCTTGCAAGCACCCGGGGCCTGCAGTTACGTTCAGTCCTGCTCACTCAGCCCAGAAATTAAATAAAAATAAAATTAATTTTTGAACTTGCTGTTGCTCATTACGGGACACTATTTCACAGTCCGTATTACTCTTCTCTTCTGGATATCCATTGATTATCTAACAAGTTATGTTCGGAGAATTATAAAGTCAAATTCGCTTTGCTTGTTGGCCCAAAATTATGATTCTGCTGCAGTGCTGCATTGTGTGCCAGTGACTACCCCTGGCCAGGGGGGGGGGAACCAGGGGGAACAGCATTCCTCCGTGTTTATGCAGATTCGTTTAGGTTTTCTCTATGCTGCATCATTTGTTTTGGTTTTCTAATTGCTTGATTTCCTAATTTTAGCGAGGTAAGACCGTAACAATCAGACTGTGCGAATCTGTATGTGGGTAGGCGCCGTTTCAAGTCGCAAAGCGCTTGTGCAAAGCCGAGATGACGGAGTTACTCTTGGTTTTCAGAGTGCGTTCAGGATTTGGTAATGTTTTTGACTGGACATCCGAAAAAGAAGGGAAAATATGTTTCACTAGATGTGTAAGTTTTTTCGAAAACTGCTCAGATTATTCACCAAAAGTCAAAGTTCCCTGCAATTGCAATCAGCATTGTCAGTGAACCAGTTTGAACGTAACTGCAGGCCCCGGGTGCTTGCAAGCAGACCTAGGGCATTTTCGTGTTCCTTAAACTTGTGAAAATACAGTATGTACCGGCTTGTGTTATGTACCGGTGTGTTATGCAGTACATGCGTGTATCTACAAAAGGTACGGTACATAGTGTGCACCTTGTACATTAAAGCGTAAGCTTGTCACTTTACAAAATGCACGATAATTCGTGGATTTCCGCTTTCACCACTGAATCTTTTCAAGTTGCGCTGCCTAGTAGCACGGCCACGAACTGAGTACGTAATAGTAATACCAGGGCATACCTAATACTAATAACGCATACCTAATAATTATTAATTTTAGTACCGTAAGGCGTAACTGTAATGCGAGAGCAATACGAGTACTTGCACCGTTCAGTGATGTTTGTTGATCCCATGAACACACGTACAGCAGCCTTCGCTTTCTTTATCGTGCATTTGTGGTTGAAGAAGAAGATTAGGGTACACCGCATTGCTAGAACGCATGCGGTTTATCGGTTGCAGTGTTTGCTTTAGGAGAGACATGATAATAATTCATGGTATCTTTCATTTAAACGTGGTGAATATTATACATTTGTAAGAGGTATTCATATCTGACCGCTTCAAATTGCAGTGTGTGTGAACTAATTACAAACAGTTGGACAGTGCTTGAGTACTACGCAAACTGCACCAATGTCGGAAGATCCTATTTCATTTTTTGGGAGAAACTGCGAATATTCATACTGCAGCAAAAGCATTTTGGGCGTGGGCGGCTTTGGTTCGGTATACAAAGCAACGATCACACAGCATGGTCATTTCGATGTGGGCGAATTGGCAGTTAAAGTTTGTAAATTTTCCATGGCGGAAAACTGGCAAAAGTGGCGTGACCGATGGAATACACTGGTCAGGTTGAAGCATCCCCATTTAATTAGATATCATAAAATCTCTGTTAATGAACCATCCAAAGCACCTGTCGTCGAATATTTAATGGATTATTGCAGTGGTAAATACATCTATATTTACCCACTAGAGTAGGAAGTTAGGCAGATATTACAAGCTGTAATTTTTATTTTCCTATTTCTTGCAGGTGGTGACCTGGAAATGCATCTGAGTGAGAAGAAGACGGAAGTCAAAAAGAACTGTTCCTCATCCTTTGACGAAACGACAGCCATGTGTTATGCTGTGCAGATCATTAAGGGCGTCAGGTTTTTACATAAGAACAGCATTATGCACGGAGACCTGAAACCCGCGAACGTTTTGGTCAAATACAGAAGCGATATACTTCCGCATTTGCTGATCGGTGACCTTGATGGCCTCATCCAAATGGAAAATAGTATTGCATCCCGTAGTATCGACAATCTCTGTGGAACTCTCCGGTACATGTCACCCGAACTGCTTAAGCGATTGGTTTATGCGGAAGTCTGCAGCCTTGGGAGGAAGTCAGATATCTGGAGCCTCGGCTGTGTCATTCACGACCTAGTCAACTGCTGCTTTGCAATAGAAAACAAAGTCCTTGTAAAAGAGCCGGACTCCGTTGAGGTGAACAGCCGTCTTACCAGCTACACATACGCAGCGAAGATCATTGAGGGCTACGTTCCGCTAATTAGGGCAACCGCGTCCCCTTTGAGAGACATTGCAATAAAGTGCTTGCAAGTTAACAGCGCAGCTCGAGAATCTGCTGCTGGATTACTGAAAATTAGTAAGAGCCAACGCTTGGACATTTGCAACGAATGCCGCGTTTGTGGAAGACAAACCGCATCGGAAAAACATGGCACAGACACAGTGGGTGGATCCACATGTTACACAGCTTCCAAACCGAAGGCATTGAGCCAATTCCAAAAACCCGGAAGGGAAGTGGAAAATTCACAGGTTACAGCAGTGCCGGTGGCATCAGCAAGTAACGCCGCAGTCCATCTGGTTTCAGGATCTATAAATAAATCAAAACTGAACCCAGACCATACCCGGAACGAAACGGTACAAATGGTCTGCCAGGTAACGGTTCGTGGAGGGATGTTCAATATGCATGCTACACTATGCTGCCTTAACGTATGGCTCTCCATTTTTCTCCTATTAATGATGGGCTTTTTTCTGCCTCAATTACTGCTGACCAGTCAACAGTTTTTTGGAGAATCCAAAGAATCCTTTAAGCAGCACTTTCCCATCTCTAGTTTACCACTGGATTTTCGGAGTCAATATAGAAATTCAGCCAATTTAATTGTTCCATACGAGCTGTTGAGTAATAAGAAAAATATCGCACCAGCCGATCGCATTCCGCTGATCCAAGAAGTCATACAGGAAGAAAATAAAGAACCCCGGCGACGAGGCAAACGCAAACGCTGCGAAAATGAACTGGGAAACTTAACGGAATGCACAAAATTTGTCATATGGAAGATAAGGAAAATGTGCGCGCAGCTGGCGAAACCGATTAAAGATCGTGATACAAAGGTCGCTTTCATAAACTCATTAAAACTGAAAATCCGGCAGACAAGTTTAATTGCATTGGTGGGTCCAATTGGAAGTGGAAGAAACACGTTTTTGCGGTTGTTTCTCAAGCGTATGGAGCTCGGAAAATCTATAGAACATGGTTCCGTAGAAATTATGAAGCCAGGTGACTTCCTTGACACCATAGAATTTCGAAGCTGGACAATTGAAGAAATACTGAAGGTTCTTGTTCTGATGATCTACAACGGAATTCCTAAAGATTTAATTGTGTTCACTACGAATGGTGTAATCGATTTGCCGGTGGTGTTATTGCAGCTGCTGGGAATTAGGAGCCCGTTGATTGTTATCATGTCCAGCAATGCCACGAAGCTGTGCGACGCGGTGTGCAGTCGACCAAAGTTAGGCTTCGTGCAGCTGGCGCATGGCGTGTGTATGGCACACCAAGTTGAAGATTCTTGTTTGACCAGTGGCCATCAGTTTGTCTACAACTGGGCGGCGTATAAGAAGATCAAAAACTTCCGTTTAGGATTGCCGGTGACTCATCACGATGATATCAAACTGATAACTAAAATGCGAAGAGATGCCGGTATCCGTCCCTTCCAGTACATAATGGAGAGACTTCGTGCGACTCTCGCAATTGGAGCAGCGAATGACAGCATCGTGGCTGCAGCCCTTTTTCGTTATGTTTATATTTATGAAAAGAAGTACCAGAGAGATAGTTTGCAGTTCATGTTGCATGGTACTCTTGACGATTTTGACTAAACATCCAGTTCCCGCAACGATGCTGCCGACTGCTGATGCCGGAAACATGGAGATTGTATAATATTAAGGAGGCTAGGTTGCTTCTGATGGCCTTTTGGCTTCCTTCCACTCTGCTTCCGTACCTTATTTTTTTTATTTCGTTTGCACAAAGTGTTTTATGGCGCATCATAAGACGAGAGATAAAGTGCTGTTTATAACGACTCCTACATGTTCCCCCAAACTGAAGTTTAAGCATAGAGAGAAATAAACAGAGAGAGAAATACGCCGCTTCGCTTTGCTCCGCTCTGTATGAGCAAAGCGAAGCGGCTTTCGGTGTCAGTTCTATTTAGCCACAGATGGGCAAAAATGACTTGCATGAATCACAATTCAGGTGGAAAAATTTCACAATTCAAGAATGCAGATTGTTCTTGTGGTTGTACATTGCTTTTTGGATCAAAGTATCAAACCAAGCTTGCATGTGGATTGGAGGGACTGTTGCCGTAGAAAGGCATTCGGGTTTAAGCAAATATGCCTCTGTGAAAAGCCATTTACTGTAGCGGCTCAGTCAGATTCCACCATACAGTTTGAATACCTCTAAGGAAAAACAGTACCTGCAACATGTTCACCGCTCGTGCATTCAAACGCTGGGCGTACACACGCTACCCCTGTGTTTTTTTCCCGTATCAACTCTGTGGTACAACTTGGTCGAGCCGCTACAGCAACCATCCTTGCTAGTGGCTGCTGAATTGAACTGATCCCAGCATGGTATCGCTGCATGTGGTGTTCTGCAAATGAACATGGAAACTACAATTTAATGCAATGCAAAGTAAAAGAAAAGAAGGGCATGGCAGTGGAAAACTGACCTACAATATCCAGACTGTACCGGCTGGTCTGCCTCGTCGCTTTACACAGCAGACACACCAACTGCCGTTTCACTTGCTCATTTGTCAGCGGCTCCTCGGCCTCTTCGGCTCCTTTGTCAAACATTGCACGCAGAAACTGCAGATTTTTGCCGTAGCAGTACCGGCTCTGCTTCAGATGGTTCCTAAACTCTCCTGCGGAAATCGTTGCAGACTGCTGCGTCGGCACACTTTCCAGGCAGAAGACACAGTTGAATTCGTAACCACAATAACGTGTCACGTGGCCAATCAGTGAAAGCGCCGGATACGGATTGCATGGCAGAGCTGACGGTGGAACTGGAACCGGATGTGCGGCCACGGTCTGGATAACAGAGACTGGTGTCTGACGTGTAGAATTCGGTGTCAGCGCTAGGATTCGGTGCCTTTTTACGTATTCGACGTCGTTGAGTGATGTAGAAACAGCTGGATTTGCGTAGATGTTGCTATCTTGGTAATTGTCAATAAAAACGCGGTAATTCGCTCCGGTATCGCTAAAGCTTCCTAATCGGAGTATTTCCTGTTCATTTTGACAAAGAATGGATGGATTTGCTGAATTTGGCTTGCTCACCCTCCACACAATTTCCCCACTGATGTGCTCCACAGAATGATACGGAGATGTTTGTACCTGCACGGACGGCTGAGGGACCCGGTAGGGCTCCCACGAAGGACAATGGTCACGAGGATGCAGCTGCGAATACTTGTCACCGGAAAATATGAAACACTTCCGCCGGATTGGTGCAGCATGATCGAATCCCTTTGCACAAAGTGATTCTGCAATACAAAATCTTTCTGTGAACTTTAACTGTTTGAAAGGCTCAAAGTCTAGACCCACTCTCAGCATACATGTAGAATTACTTTTTAAACATAATTACGAAAATTAACTTTGTTAACCCATAGCATTTATTAAAAGGATGTGGCGAATTTTGCACTCCAAACTACTACTTGGAACAGGCTCATAATGTAGCAAGGCAAAAGTAACCACACTGACGCACTCCACGCCGCCTAATAAGACCGCACTATATGCTGCACAGCATGTCAGCATAAACGACAGTACCACAAGTTACGAAAGGTCAATTTCTACAACTTTTGCTCGAGCTATAAAAAACCGCGGAAATTAGATTACTGATTAAGATACTCTCTTTGTGAAGGGCAACGCTAAGAAGATGTATATTTACCAACCGAAAGCTAATTCCTTTATTAGTTTAGCGAAGAAAGTGCGGTTGTTTACAGAGGAAAGAAAAAAGGTCATTCTGTGCGAAATGTGCTGGCATTCTTTATGTATCGAAACAGGGTTTCGGAGTTTGGATAGTACCTCGCAATGTTTGAGGCGGTTATTTTTTTGTGAAGTCTTATGCTCTCATACTCGAATCGGTATACTGCATATACTGTACTTCAGTACCTGATATACCGATACGTAAGGGTATCGGTATATCCTAACGATAATTATATGGTGTACTTGATCTGCGTTTCCTTGTAGCAGAAAATTTTCCGCTTTCTTCACTTCCGTCTGGGTTTCCGGAATTTGATATTTTATAGACGGATGCCCCATGGCAGTTGCTTTGCCACATCTTTCACCGTTCCATCGCAAGGTGCAGTCACAATCTGTAGGAAATAATGGCTGCGGCACGAGATCCATCTCACTAATATTTTACCCGAGCGGACGCAACGTAATCGTCACAGTCCCGAACCCATAGTTGTTTTAAGAATCCAAAGCCGGATTAATGCGCTGCATTTACCGGGGCAACACAACCCTCTTGACGTCAACTGAAGCAATCGAACAGTCTTTGACTAATCGAGATCAGTCGAGCCAGCCAGAAATTAATCGAGATTAATTGCACGAGCACTTTCAACGTTGACACAATGCTTGAAGGAGACACTAACGATTTTCAAATTATTCTGGAAACAGTGCAGCAAGCACAGCCCCCGCTCGGTTTCTGCTGAATATCATTCCCACAGGAAAATATTCGGCGGCCTGCGGGCACACTGTGATAAGTAAACATGAATGGGTCCATTCGTACAAGCAGGGGTTATGTAGGTAAACATACGAAATCTGACACTGTCAGAACAAGTATGCATAGCAGTCTGACCCGTACCAACTGCATCTGTTTGTGTTTGTGTGTTTTATTTATTCAGTCGATAGTTATTACAGAGCACGACGCTCACGTCGTGGCAGACACAAAACTTTTGTGTTCTAGACAGTCGTTGCGGCATGAATCAGTTGCGTTATAATGCAAGCTATATATACTACTGTAGGCTAAATGTTTTACGAATGTGATTACGTACATACCTTTTGTAGGATACACCGGGAAGTGACATTCTGTCACTTATACGGACATGGAGACTGCCGACAACGAGATCTCTAACAGACAAGCTGAATCAGCGCTAACAGCCAGCCAGCTGCTCTTCTGATTCAGAAAAGATACGAGTACATAAGGCCAGAATGCTATCGAGGACATGAAAGACCTCAGTGTCCCATTTGTCTTTCTGGGCGTCGTAAACGTAGGTATCATAAGAATTATCTTTCGTCGACGCACCGCTCCACATGTAAATGCGGTTGTTCAGTGCGAATGCACAGAGGTACTCTTTTGCTTTAGGTAATGCGCATATCTTCTGAATAGTTTGTTTGCTCAGGTCAACGCACTGACTGGAGTCGGTTGACCAAAAAAACCAAAACGACGAAGTGCCGCTGAGCATATAAACCTTGTCAACAACCGCCGCTTGGAAGTCTGTTTCGGTTAAGGAGTCTCGTTGGTCATTGGGCCACTCATCCCATTCATCGGTGACAGTGTCAAAGTACTTCATCAACGTCACGGGTGGTCGTGACGCGAACATGGGACCAGTGTTCATTGATCGATATCCAAGATATACTACGCGCAGACCGCACCGAAGTGCACTGTCGATATGGGTGAATCTACAAAAATGAAAAATCTTGGGAAGGAAAATAACCATCTTTTCGTACTCTCTCCTTACCCGGGTGTCCGATGAGCACGAGAAGTCAAAGTTAGTCCATCAGATTATGCGGTAATTCCTTTAGAAAGATATCCTTCTTTAAACGTTTGACTTCTGCCATCCATAAAATAAATTTTATTGTTGAGCCCCACGGGGTATTGGATTTGCACTGGAACATCCGGCAAAATCGGACGCTATGACTGCTTGGCAAGATTCCACGATATGGTTTCCAGTACGGAAGCGCCAACATCCCAAATCTGGCAGATCACCTCATTGTCAACAACGGTAAAAAACCGTGCAAAACGCTACTGGCACAGGTCTTGCGGTAGCTGAATGCAGCGCACAGTTCGGTTTATTGGGTCAATCAACTGCGCAGATATTCTGGAAGGTTTGCGTACATCATCTTCCAGATCGCACAGCACATGAACCATTTCTTGTCCCGCCGGAACTTGCTATACAGTCCATAATTTTTCGTTCAAGAGAGAGCGCATTTCTGTGCAGAAACCCTTCGCTTGGTGGTGATACAAAGGCACCCGCGAATGCAATCGGCAAATTCAAATGGGATTGACTCAGGCACATACGGTGGATGTCCTTTGTTCATAATCAGCGAAATATTATACTGTGCATCATCAGAGACCGCAACCGGCGCAACGACACGTGTGCCATTTCGACTAGCGTCAACTAATGCAGCTCAAGAAAAAGGTCGACCTTTTTCTTGAGTTGCTGCAATCCGTTGGGCAATTTTTCAGTATAACACACCCTAAACTCCAGATATCGGTTTTGCGGCCCGGACTTTCCTGTCCTATTTTTTCTCCCGGGTGAGTCGCAAATTTTTTCAGCATTTCTGGCGACATGTAGCGCGCTGTGCCGCGTATATGAGTGATGTCGCCTGTAGTGTCCTGATGCATCTCCAGGCGATCATCTAGATCGCCAATCAGCAAGCGCTTCCTGTCCTCATCCAGCTTCTCCACGAGAATATTTGCTGGCTTTATATCAGCATGACTTATGCCGTTTTCATAGAGAAACCTTGTTCCTTCGGCGATATCTAACGAATAGCGGAGAGCCGTCGAAAGGTAAATCAGCAACGCTGCCACCTTTAGTCGTTGCAGCATGGAAGCCAAATCGCCTACAAATCACAACAGTTTAAGAGCAAAGCAATGCCTACAACATTTACGAAGCCAGACAAACCAAAAATAATTACGGGATTTTGAAACCCACGAATAACAGGAAAGTGAATGAATATATTCTGAAAACCAAAGGGTTTTCGGTATCGTGATAAACTCCTTTTCCAGTCTTACTTTCAAAATCATTAGTGCTACTTTCGCCCCAAGGGCGGTCCTTGTAATGGTGATTTCGTGGTACACCACTAAAAAACGGATTTTTTAGCTGTATCAATTGGTGCAAACGCTGGCGAAATCATTCGTAACGTTGCGGATTTTCCAAGCTTCTTGCTCCGCCTTCAGAAAAATAACTAATACAGCCGCTGTTTCGTTCCCTTCGTAGTCGCCTGCCAGAGTGATAGTGGCTCGGTAAACGCTGCCGAAGGAACTCGATCCGGTAATATTATTGGAATCGAGCGGAGAGTATTCGCAGTTACTGGCAAAATTTTCGGTCTTTACTGTCATTAGACGTTCGGACTCCATTATATCATTAAGCAAGAGTGTTGCTGTGAAGTCAGCTTCGTAATTACAGAAGTTTTGTAAGGCCTGCACTGATCCGTTAATAGCTACCGGTTAAATTCCCTTTTTTTTGGAATGGATTAACGATTTAAAGCTTAGTCCTGGTTCAGCGGACATTTCTTTCGGTATGAACACTACTAGTCCAAGTAAGTTATTAGGCTAAATGGGTAAGGCATCCGCCGAGCGCATTTTGTTATAATCAGGCAGAAAGCTGTTTCACTTCAGAAAAGGTGTGCTCTTCGTGTTTGCACAGCTATCGTACTGGTGTGTAATCCAGAACCAACGGTTTTAAGATAACAACACCAAATTAGATTATGTTAATAACATTGTAGTATGTGCTCCCGTTAAATGGCTGACAATGCCAGAAAAGTTTGAACCAGCAAAGACAATACATACCCGTATCAACTTTCAAAACTATGGCCATTCGCCCGTTTTATATAGGTCATTTCTTCGTTTCGCACCTTTCGAGTCAATTACAGTCAACAAATTATAAACAAGCCCCTGTTTTTGTTGATGGCACAGAATTGCACAACTGGGCACAACCAACCGTGTTGCGTGACCTTTGTAAGAGCAAGGACCCATCGCAATATGTACTGTATTACCGGCTTCCCCCATACTGTCATGCAGTGCCGCTTTACTGCAGGAAGAATTTTGATCACTAAATACAATTACAGTTGTTCGATTTCCATACAGATTTAAATTTCCATAACAATTCGAATCAAATTTCGGGGTAGCATACCTCTAGATTTTGGACAAAATCACTAGCACAGATATTTATCAAGACTCAGTCAAGAACCGCGTTTTAAATCGCACCTGTATGTCCTCGGGGCCAGACGTTTTGGCTTTGTGGTGGGGCAGGTCCCTAGCTAGAGAGTTTTGTCATAGTACGTACTCTATAGAGTACGTAGTATAGAGTACGTTTTGACATATTACGTACGTACTATGTCAAAACTGTTTTAAGGTGAACCGTGGCCCCTGGTGGCCGAGGGTTGCCAGCCGCCTATGGCAAGAATACCGGTAGGGCTGTTATATTCAGTCCGGATAGATAGTTGTTCTATAAGAAGGGAAGGACGTAAAACAATTAAACAGCAAAATTAAACATAAAATATCAATATCAATATACTGTAATAAAATATCAAAAAAAAACTTGCGATTGCTGCTCACTTGCGATTGCTGCTTTGAGCTGGCTGGTCAAGTTTGCTTGTAAATGTCCATCTATCAAGCGGAAGTGTAATTCAACTGGTGCTTTCCTTGTGAAAGCTGCCGTATTCCATCACCAAACTACGGAACCTTTATTTTGTCACCAACAACAACATCGGACTATCATGTATCATATCAATCCAACGTCAAATCCTCAAATCCGGCAAGAAGAACGACTGAAGCAGTATGTGCATAACGTGGTATATGGTACTGTAAATGTTGACTTGAATACTATAATTTCTTCTAATACTTCTCGCATGAAAATTCTCCCTCCTAAGTGGTATAGATTACATCAGTCCGCACCGGTACGTTTTCATTCTTTCCTTGGTGATTTCTGCAGCCAACTTACTTCGGCTTGTGATCTTAGTATAAGGGCTCCACACGAGTGTCTTGAATTATTGAATTATCTTGAATTATTCTTATTATTTTTAACTGTATCCTTGAATATCTCGAAGAAAATAGAAAATTCGGAATAGTAAATTAGTATGTACTATGCATGTACATTTGTGCGAGTAAGTTTTGAACAATGTTTCCGTTCAAAAATGTCCAGCGACCAAAAACGTCGTACACGTTTACGTAATTGTAAGCACATGTACAAGGGTTCTTGCGCGGTATCTTGGCGGCAAACGGAATTACCCTGTTGATCAGGAGAAACACCATAGGAGACCGAAAAGTGAAAATCTCGACTATAATTATATTGATAGGCTTTTCTTCACTGTACTCGTATTATGAGTATTTCCTCAAATTAATGGTGCAGTAGCCAGTCGGCAATTGTTGTGGACCCAGAAAAGCTGCGATAACGACCTGTTGTACTAACAATTTTAAATTTTATAATATCTCTGCTGACAACTGACTGACCCCAGACAACTTTATCCACTTTTTGTATAATTTATTGTTTGCCGGATATGCGCATGTTGTAACTACGCGCAAAAATGAAAATTATGACCTTTAGCAAATGTTAAAACTCTCCTGTCTTTGATATTGTCAACTTTTGTCGTTTCTTTTGTCTCGACTGTCAAGTGCCCTGAGGGGACCATGCCCCGATGCATAAGACCATAAATTTATTTCAAATTAAAAACAAACTGTTACGTTTCGTAGCGCTTTCCTTACTTACTTAATCAAAGAGCTGCACACCTATTTTAAGACAGTCACAAATAAAGCGGAAAACCGGTAATTAACATAACGTCCTTTCAGCTTACAGAAACAATTAACGTCACAACAAAGTACACTCAATCAGCACAGTACGCTTTCCTTTGCGGTACCAGACAGCAGACATCATATTATTATTTCTGTACAAGTGCAGGGTTACTCTACAGTACTGCATCATAGTGTCCCTACCGACAAATTTACACACTGTACCGCTTGAATAGGCTTCCTCTTCTCACAGTACTTCAGTTACTTGTAGGCTTGAGAGAATGTCCAAGTTAGGACATTAGTGGTTCACTGGTTCTGAACCTACAGAACCACTGTAGAACCACCAGCTAACCTGTTAGCGCTTACTTGTGCCACACAACCACTCAAACCTCGTGAACCAGGTGAACCTATAGAACCACATAGAACCACCAGTGAACCAGCAGTGAACCACGTTCACAGTCACTTGCAGACAGACTGCCACATTGCCACTCTACCCCGTGAACCAGGTGAACCTAAAGAACCAGGTTCACTGGTGGTTCACTGGTTTCTATGGGGTTCTATAGGTTCACCTGGTTCACGGGGTAGAGTGGTAGTGTGACAGAGTGTCGGCAAGTGACTGTGTACGTGGTTCACTGGTGGTTCTATGTGGTTCTATAGGTTCACCTGGTTCACGGGGTAGAGTGGCAGTGTGACAGTGTGTCTGCAAGTGACTGTGTACGTGGTTCACTTCTGGTTCACTGGTGGTTCTATGTGGTTCTATAGGTTCACCTGGTTCACGGGGTAGTGGCAAAGTGACAGTGTGTCGGCAAGTGACTATGTTAGTGGTTTACTGCTGGTACACTGGTGGTTCTATGTGGTTCTATTGGTTCGCGTTTTTCATTTCGCTGTGGCGTTTAAATTCTATTTGGTTCAGAACCAGGTGAACCACTTCTGTCCTGGTCTATAGGTTCAAACCTATAGAACCACTAATGTTCTAACTTGGACATTCTATGCTAACAAAAACCAAACGAAATTAACCCTTCTAAGCTGACGAGTGGTGTGACGACATCGTCACTAGTCGAACCGCACCGCCATCGCACCGTCATTAGAAGTGCGCGTGCAGGTATGCCGCGCACATTCCCGTGCGGTCATGTTACTTCATGCTGACGGTATATTATATCATCATGCCGTCATGCGCCCCGCCACTGGATCCCCCCTACAGCAGACCCGCCCGCGATCATCGAGCGCAACTCGACCGGGACGATATACAAAAACCCCCCTCCACCACAGTACCACATCACTCCACTCCGAGCCTTCCCTGGCATAGCTAGCTTAGCATTAGTACTGTTATAGTGGGCATAGTGATGTTGTTGATTAAAGGTCACATTCATACGGGTGCGTTGCCTAATCGTTATAGGGAACACAAAGGTAACACGTAAAGGTCATCGTCGACCTGTACAAGTGTAGCACAGAGGCGCTTACAAGAGTATCATATCGCGACAGTGGTAAGCATTGAACAACGCAATACAAACTTCTGAATGCTATGCTAAATGCTTTAATACGGATAGACACAGTCATGTCATTTTATGAAAGCCGTATCCGCACATACAATCCTTGACAAAATATTGGGGACGACAATGGGTTACATAAATACATATGTTTTAAGGTAAAATATATCGTGGCTAATGTCACGGGTCCGCGCAATATTGTGAAAATTCCTGACACTCATAAAGCATTAAAGCATAGCTGCGCGATTTCTCGTATTGATACCTTTAGCTTACTGCCGTAACCCACCTGCCAAAATTTCGCAGGCATTACGCAGCAGCTCGGTTTCCAGCAGTTGTGCAAGGTGCCGCAGTGTCAGGAGTTCCCATTTTGAAAGTGTTTTATCAGGGCATCCAAAAAAACCAAAAGAGGCGGGCGCAAAAAGATTTCTTCCAAGAATCGCTCGAATGGATTTCTTGTAACCCTGCCCTCAGCGGATGTTCCAGACGCAGCTCTTGTAGCGTTGTCGATAGCTTCGTCGAACGAGCTGCTAACGGGTCTTCCAGATCCAAGTCTTCTGCTAACGGCTCTTCTGACGTCTTCCAGGGTGAGTGGAACTGACCCACCCGGAAATAGCTCTTCGTACGACCATCGAACGGGTTGTTCGGGTGCATTTGATTTAATGTTGTCTTCAGCGGTTGGTTCCGTTGCACTTATGGTAACGCCCTCTTCAGCGGAAAGGTCGGGTGGATTTGTTGTAATCTTGTCTTCAGTGACTTCAGTGGATGGCCCGGATGCAGTTCTTGTAGTAGCGTCCTGATTCTCTGGAAATGCGCCACCGGGGTAAGCCTCGGCATACGACCTGACAACGGACTTAACCGTCTCCACGACTACACTAGGATCTGCCGCAAAATATTCCGTTTTACCCTCGACACCGGATCGCGGACTGTGGAAATTTTTATTTCTTAGCTCATCGTGAACTTCCCACTCAACAGAATACCGAAATTCCACAACCTCAGTATGGATTACTTTGTAAGTTTCCTTATTCTTCCTCTCCAATTCGCGCTTGCGCGTGTTAATGTCCCTTCTGGTTATACCCACTTTTACGAGAGGCTGGCCATTTTCGTCTACTAGAGGCTGACCATCTTCGTCAAGAGGCTGAAGAACGTAGATGATGCCATTCCCTTTTCCTTTCTTTTCAGAAGGTGTGAGTTGGTCAGGTGCTCGCACTCCCGCTATGCCGAGGAAATGCGTTGCCTCCTGTGCGAAATTATCTTCGAACCATTTGTGGATGCAGAGAATGTCTCGTGTGGTTTGTGGATCAGCCAAAATCATCCTCACTGCCTGTAGTCGTAGATCAGACGCCGACGGGTTATTTTTCGCCAACCTCGATATAATATTATATCCGCAGTTATTCTGACTGTTATAGGTCTCAGCTCCCGTTTCTTCGATTTCATATCCATCTGCGTCGGCGTTCTTTAAAGCGTAATGCCCAACGCCGTTGATTGCGCCGCGAGGCGGTGGAATATAAACAACAATGCGCACACCGGAGGCCCTTTCCGCTTCCGTTGGAACGTAACTAGGACTTTCAACGATCTTCAGATTAAGGTTATGAAGTTTCGCCAACAAAAGAAAGGTAGGATTGTCGATCGGTTTATTGTCGGCAATATCCGCTGCAAGCTTTTTGACTTCCGGATCATTAGTTGCGCCATCAATAATTCCGTTTTTTTCGGCGCGTTCGATGGCTGCCTCCGTTTTTACAATCATGTCTCGCAACTGAAAGTTGATCATGTATTCCTTGGCGTTCATTTCAATTTGACCTTTTACTGTTCGTGTTCGGTCCAAGAACTTTGGGTCCCTGGAGTCTTGAGCCTCGCTGACCACGAAACGCTTCTGCAGTTCTTCGGAGATGCCGCGCACTATTGCACCGGCCGCTTGCGACATCACTGGGGATACGAGGTGCGAGTTGGCGGTTTTAATAATGTGACTGACAATCAAATCAGTCACAGCTTTATGCAGCACGCTCATTTCAACCTTAACCAGAGCTGTGTCAAACTGCTTTTGTTCCTCCGACAATGTTTTCAACAATTTTTGCAATGCTTCGCCTTCTTTTCCAGCCAGAACTGCTGAAACATCTTTGAAAGTAATATTCGTGTTTCGGGTTATTTTGCTTATAGCTTCAGCGGAAAAATCGTTTTGCCGCAATATTTGCCGGAAGACTTCAACGTCTTCGTGTAGCTTAATTGCTAGTTCTGTGAACACTTTGGAAATGATTGTAGTTACTTCGTGTACACCGGACAAGGCTCCCCAGCACATGACCAGATTACTGTAGGCGGTTCCAGTGAATCTGGGATCAGACAGAATCCCGTTAGCCAACGGAGCGCCGACTGAATTCCACCACGCACGCCACGCCGGCAATTGCGGGTTCATGGTGGCTTTCACCAGTCGTTCCAGTTTGCGCTGCAGAGTCAGCGCCGTCGTCGATGTGGGAGTACCGGCATCGAGGATTCGATGTTGCGCCCATGTTTCTGCCAGGATAATCTTGAAATTTGGATGGGAAAAGCCTTGCTCTACTCTTTGTTCCACTTCTCGCGTGATTGCTTCACGGATTTGTTCAAAACAGAATCCCGACAGTTTGTCACTGAGGGCCTTTATCCCAATCCGGGCGCCGGTTTCCGCCGTCCGCACTGCAATATGTTTGACCGCCAAGACTTTTAAGTTCGCGCCTAGTACCGAAAGATATCTGTTTAAGAACAGCATTTAGGACAGCGGAACTTGTACAATGCCCAATAGCCTAGTAGTCGCGCTTGGCTTACCGGTTGCTTTGATGATGGCAGTGTTGGCGGCCGCTACCGTCGAACCGCTTGCAGCAGCTTTTGTAGTAAGTAGTTTAATTCCTTTTGCGCCGTTACTCAGGCTGTTCAAGCCCATCGTCGATGTTGTTATGACCAGACTCACAGCTTTCTGTGTAACATAATCGCTCCAGTCGAAACTGCGCGTGGCGTAGATTCGATGAGCCATGGTCATATCCGACATGGCTTCAGTAACCAGCGACATTCCCAAACTGGCTCCGAAAGTTGTCGTGATCAGCAAACCGCCTGCTGCGGCCTGCACGAATGCCAGTCCGCAGACGCTGAGCAAGCTAATCCATGGAAGGAACTGTTTTTCGTTAAAGGACACCAACATGCTAAGGCCGCGAGCACTTAGTTCGCGTATCTCCTGCAGTGGCAGCTGGCCGTGGGTAAACATATCGGATAGTTCTTGCACTTTGGTCTGGTGCATTTGTTCCTGGTCGACCTTGGCGTCTTTTAAAATTTTGTTTGCATCTCCCCAGCTCAAATTGTACAGCTGCATGGTGAATCTGACATTGTACTTTCGGAGAACCCTAATCACATCTTTTGCGCTATCCGGCGATATTTCAGATAATACAAGATTTGCGCTGTAACTTGAAATCGCTTTACTCCATGCTGTTTTCAGAACTTCCGCATATGGCTCGCTCTCTCTCTTCACACTCTCGTTCTGCGCCCTTTTGTGCAAACCTCGTAGCGTCAAGTTAATGTGCAGTTCGGGCGCTGCAGGATGGCAATCTTTCCCCAAAGATTCAACAGCATGATGCACGTCAGCGGCTCTAAGCAATCCGATGACTCTAACGTAGATGCAGTTGTCTTCGAGCTGCTTGAAGACGTCGAGTTTCACCCGCTCTGCCATTTCGAATGGCAAAAATTTCTTAATTAGCCGATGCTCGTCAGTCGTTACGATAATCGTTTGATGTTGAAATGTCTTCGATTTTTTTATCAAATTTTTGGTTGCTTTTATTAATGTTTTCAGTGGACCGGATATTTCCAGATCAAAATTACTAACGCCCATATCTCTGATATCATTAAACTGAAACGACAACTTTCCTCCTTTTTCAAAATCTCGGTGTATCTTGAGAACCTCAACGCTAATTTCGGGAACCTTCTTGAACAGCTTGATATCGGGTTTCAGCAAATCACCGAGTTTCAATAAATCAACGGCTTCACAGCATAAGGATACCCTCAGCGAACTCATCAGCAAAGTAGCAGCGGTTCCCGGCAGTGTTTGAAGCGCCTGATCCTTTTCGCCGCTATCATTGTGTACTGTTTGATCGTGAAATGTTAAGCTAAATTCCTTAAACTGCTTCAAATTTTCACCCAGACATCGTTCTTTTGGGTTTTTTTGAAGAAGATCATTTGGCAGACGCAGTGTGCGCCTGTCTGACTCAGTCAGATAGTCCAAATTGACTTTACGAAGTGACCTTTCCGTCGCGTCAATATTGGCTTGAATGCTGTTTATGAAATAGCCGAGAAGGTTAGTTTTCTGGATTAGCTGTTGAAAAAGTGGGGTATCGTTACTTGATCCCGGAGGAAGCTGTTTTTGCGTTAAGACTTGCATCGTGTTAATGACCGACATCTCCCTGTACAGTAGATGGAGAACGCTATTCAATTTTTCTACCGCTTTCCTTTTATAATCCAGTGGTTCACCGGTGTTCAAATATGCTGCGGCAAGGCCGATTTGAGCTCCAAAAGCAAACGATAAGTCCATCTGAATGGCGATATTATAATGCTCCACAGCGGCAGGATACTTTTCGCTGATGTATTCAACGTTTCCTGTGGGAAATTCAAAGAAAAAAATCAGATTAATGCTTTCTCGAACTGGCCTGTTACAATTGTAGTTGTTTCTTGTGCAGTCAACACACATTACTTATCGTACCCAGTTGCACAAAGTAGAAGGCGTTGTTAGCGGCTTTAATGAGTTCTTGCTTGTTTTCCGTTTTTTCCAGCTTTGCTTTAAAATTTCGGAATTCTGAATGGGCTTTTTTGCTATGGAAATTTTCACGATCAACTCGAAGGAGAAATTTCGCCCACTGTTCTTCCACGGATAAAAGTACAATGGTCTCAAAAAACGACGATGCGCTGCCACTTCCAATACTCAAGTATGCGTGCGCGACATCTTTTGCCTCGTTGCCCATGTTTTTCCAGAAACTTCGCTGGCTTTGGAGCTGTCGACGAACGCTGTTGTAAAATTCGCAGAATTCTTCGAAAAGCTTCCCTTTCATCTGAATGTACGGTAGTTCATGTTGTCGAAATTCCTCCAGCATGCGTTTTTCTTCGAGATCGCGCTGCTTTCGGTAATTGGATAATGGGTCGCCGACGATGATAAGTTGCCCGGTGCCTTTGTTGCCTTGTCGCGATGTGCGACCAAATGCTTGTTCCTCCGTCCGCAGACTGCGCGGAAGGAATGTGAGGCACACGTGCAGTCCGCCGTATTCTTCGATCTCCGCCGTCTTCAAGTCAGTGCCGCGGCCCGCAAGGTTGGTTGCCACCACGATATCTCCAGGATGGAGCCGTTCGATTTGCTTTTCTTGTCCTTCTTGATTTTTGACGTACAGCTTGACCTTAACCTAAACATTCGAACGCTATATGTTCGGTAATAAAGTACGATCAAGAGTATGTATGTGTAGCCGAGGAACTCATCCCGACGGATAAACCGTCCACCGGAAGCTAGTGCAGACTGCCGACAAAACTGCTCGCACGTCCAGTACCACTTGGCACGCAAATTTACTTATCCACGTCTGCACATTCCAAAATTTTGAAGCATCCGGTTCAGATTTCCCACAAGAATTATATTGTCGGAATATGCATTGGGAAGCGGACGAATTTACCGGTCATAGTACACAAGGGTGCTTACCTTAAAGCTAGAGAAAACAGAGCCAATCAAGTGCGCAGATTTTATGGTCTCACAAATCACCAACACCGCACGCTTTTTTGACGTCTCGGCGAGTGTCGTAACTGCAATTTCTCTCAACCACTGCTCTTCGTTTTCGACGCAGATATCCGGAAATTGTGTATAACGTTTAAAGTAAGTTTCCGGAAGAACGAGCAATTTCACATGATAAATGTTGTACATAATCTCCCGTTCGTAGCTGGATCCTAATGTTCCTGTGAAGCCGATTATGTTGGTGCCGTACTTGTTGAACATTGAATAATTTGACAAGAAGTTGGTGGTCACAGTTTCAGAGTGGATCTTCAATGAGTAGTAGTATCCCGATGGTTCTGAACCAGTTTTTTTTATCCGGGGGGTCCAAATTTTAGACCCTAGGGGATAATTAACGGTCTGTGTGTTTCTGCCCTAGGAGATAATTAACGGTGTGTTTTTTGACCGGGGTGAATTTTAACGAATGGTATGTTTTTAATATGTGATTTTGTGAAAATATGTCATGAAATTGCAGACTAAATATCGTTTCGTTAGATGGCATTGTGAAAATGACATACTGATTAGTGCATTACCTTTACTTTTTGAGTGACAAAAAACAAAAAGGAAAAACAGGAAGCTTGATCTGTGGTTGGGTAAGTATGCTATTGCGGTGACACATGTGCCGAACGACCACGACCACTGTTCAATCTTGGTTTCCTATTTTTTCACTTGTGCGACATGGATCACCGATTTCAGTGATCCTTGTACGACATGGATCACCGAGTTCAGTGATCCCTTGTACAACGCGGATCACCGAGTTCAGTGATCCCATGTACGACACGGATCACTGTTATTGGAAATCCTTCCTGGTTTTGATGACCCTTGCAAGTATGGGATTATCGGAATCGGTGATCCATGTGAGTGCAGCGGTCAATCACGTACGTACAACACCGTAGCAACAGTATGAGGGATCACTGGAATCGGTGATCCCTACGGGATCATTAGATTTTGGATGGATCACCGAGTTCGGTGATCTCTCTAACATAACACATAACCGTGTACGTACGACACCGTAGCAACAGTATATACGTAAGATGATCGAGATCGGTGATCCCTCTGGGTATATAAAGGAGGTAGATTTTTATAATGAATTTCAGTCTGAACTTATTCTGCCACATTCTAAGAGAATTTCTTGGCACATTAATCGCACAGGTGTATATTTTTGCAAATCGGATCGCTATTATTGCATTATGGACTTTTCGAGGAAGCGACAGCGGGAAGATGAACCAGAAGCCTCGAAGCGACAACGGGAAGAACCAGCAACATCAAATGACCAAACGAATACGGAAATAGGTAAATTTCTGAAAAACAACCTTTAGCAGCCCGATCATTTTTAAAAATAGATTTATTTTTCAAATCCTTGCATTTGCGTTTTGATTATATTGTTGAACGCTTATACGTTGAAGACACTGAGCTGAAGATAAGAAAAAAGAATTTGCGCAGATTCAGCGGATGTCGCCCTCGAAAACATTACTGATCATATCCACATCGAAGAAGCCGGCTCAAAAATTTGGAAAAAATTTGGTTTGCATTCCAAATGTTTTTCAGTCAAGGTAAACCGCAGCTACATTTTTCAAATATTTGGAACAGGTCTGAGATTACTTGCAAATTGTAAGGTAATCTTTTAGGCTTTTGATTTGGAAACCCTTCCTTTTGCGATAGTTCCGATGGCTCTGACGTTGATATTGCAACACGTTTTGGACTATGTGTTAGAAGGTGTACGCCCTGAAGAGATGGTACGAGTGCGAATCGATTCAAAATCTCTGAACTACCCAATTTGGACACCACCGATACAAAGATCGCAACTTACTGTGCGACGATGGATGGCGGAAGTAGCAAGGGTGCTCAACTCTTACGAAGAATTCAGCATGGACAAACACTTTGAAGTACTAGTGCAACACACAGACATTCCCAGAGGCAGCTGTGTCCGCGACGTTCCCATAATACTAAAAAAGAGGCTTCAGAGAATGAAGTCCGTCATTTTGATAACAAATGCTGATAGTATTTGTCTCGCAAGAGCTTTAGTTGTCGGAATGGCCTATGCGGACGGTGATAAGCAGAAGTGTCGAAGGATTAGGCGCGGAGAGAAGCTTCAATCGAAAGAAGCAAAAGCGTTGATAAAGAATGCAGGACTGGACGAAAGAGAGTACACAATAGCGGATGTCCCATTTTTCCAGCAAGCACTTGCCGAATACCAGATTATTATTGTGAGTGTAGATCACGCCAACAGCATCGTGTACAGCGGACCCAAACAGAGCAAACGCATAGTCTTGCTGCATCATGACCATCATTTTGACTTGCTCAATTCGCTGCCAGCTTTTTTTCAAAGAAATTATTGGTGTTACGCATGCAACAAAGGTTACAATGAAAAAGCAGATCATCGTTGTGAATCAATTTGCCACTCGTGTTTGCGCAACGATTGCGAGGCGGACAAAGGAAACGTCATCGAATGCCAGGATTGCCATCGTAAATTTTTTGGTTCCGGTTGTTTTACCGAGCATAAGGTCGCATCTACTCCCACACAGAAACAACGGAAAAGTATTTGTCAGTCAGTTTTTAAGTGCCAGCAATGCTTCCGTGTGGTATCAAACAGAAATCGGAAAGGTGTTAGTCAGCATCAATGCGGAGAAGTATACTGTCAAACATGCAAAACCCACGAATTGCCCGATTCTCATAAATGTTTCATCAAGCCTCACAAAGTAACCGAGGAGGACCTGGAAGAGCACAGGAATGCCAGCTTTCTGTATTTTGATTTGGAGACATATGTGTCAGAAAATCGTGAACTTGTGCCTAATCTTGCGGTAAGGTTGGTTCAATAAAACAAAGCAACCATTTAATTCTGGATCTTTTTAGGTTGTCCAGGACGATGAAGGGCATGAATGGATTTTTCCGGAGGAAGGCACACCTTTCGGTGGTAACGTTACTGACCAGCTGTGCTCGTTTTTATTTAATGAGCGACACAGAGATCACTACATTATTGCCCATAATTTCAAGGTAAAACCATTGCTCCGTAAAGATTATGGTTACATAATAATATTCGCTTTATAGGGATTTGATGGGTATTTTATTTTGCGTTGGTTACTGGAAAACGGAATAGTCCCGAAAGTTATTATGAACGGTGGAAAGATACTTCAACTGGATGTGTCGGAATTCAATATATGCTTTCGGGACAGCTTCAACTACAATCCGCAAAGCCTTGCAAAATGGCCGGCAACCTTCGGCATTCGTGACATTGGAAAGGGCACATTTCCTCATCGGTTTAATCGTAAAGAAAATTGGGACAAGGTTCTTCCTTTTCCGGAGCCGGAAGAGTACGGGTTTTCATGCATGAACAGGAAGGCGAAGGAGTCATTCATGTCTTGGTATGCTACGGAAGCGAAAGAAAAAGATTACCTTTTCGACTTCCGGAAAGAGATTGAAGAGTATTGTCGCATGGATGTGACGGTACTACGCATGTGCTGTCAGCAGTTCCGCCGTCTATTCCAAGAAATCAGCAACGGATTGTGTCCTTTTGTCTCGGCTATGACGATTGCTGGTGTATGTAATCGGTATTGGAAGTCTTTTATTCTTAAACCACAACAAATCGGTCTCCTTCCGCAACGTTTACATGCGAAAAACCGGAACCAATCAGAAATCGCCAAGAAATGGTTAGCGTGGATAGAAAAAGAAGAAGAATGCGCTTTGGAATCGGCTTTGAATGGATCTGAACACCAGATTGGACCGTTCTTTGTTGACGGTTACCGCGCAGATATCAATCACGTTTACGAATTTTACGGCTGTTGGTACCACGGGTGCCCTCAGTGTGAAGCTCCTGGAACCATACACCCTTTCCGGAACATTCCAATGTCGGAAATATACAACGAAACCCTGGAACGGGAGAAGTATATCCGCAGCCAGGGATACGGTGTGACCACCATATGGGAACATGAATTTGCAGATCAGATAAAGTCGGATCCCGAACTGCGATCGTTTGTTCAGAAACTTTCGTTTATTGCTCCTCTGGATCCACGAGATGCATTCTACGGTGGTCGTACAAATGCCGTCAAGCTTTTCCACCAGATATCCGGTGACGAAACGATAAGTTATTATGATGTCAACAGCGAATACCCGTACGTCAACAAAAACAAACGATACCCCGTTGGTCACCCCACAATAATTACCAAAGATTTTAAAGATATTGGAAATTATTTTGGTATTGCCTTGTGTCAAGTGCTTCCACCTGGGGACTTGAAATTGCCAGTACTACCATATCGCTCGGGTGGTAAGTTAACCTTTCCTTTGTGCCGGACATGTGTGGACAAGTACCAAAACACCAAGTGTGAGCACACCGATGAAGAGCGCGCTTTAACGGGAGCCTGGTGTACACCGGAAATAAACGAAGCTGTGAAGCGCGGATATATGGTCGAAAAGATTCACGAAGTCTGGCATTTCGAGCAGTACGAAGACCGTCTTTTTGAAGAGTATATCAACAAGTTTTTGAAGATCAAAACGGAAGCAAGCGGTTGGCCTGCTCACGTCCACACTGAAGATGAAAAACATCAATACATTCAGGATTTTAAACAACATGAGAAGGTTGAACTAGATTATGATAAAATCACTCCAAATGCTGGACTGCGTTCACTATCGAAACTGTGTTTAAACAGGTTAGTTTATACAAAATACAGGCATCAGATTATGAAAATTTACAAGTATTACATTATCTTTCCTTTTTATAGTTTCTGGGGACGTCTGGGAATGCAAGAAAACAAACTCAGCACTGCCTATATAACCGAACCGGAAAAGTTTTACGACATGTTGTTGTCTGGAAAGTATCACGTGCATTCTTGGGACATGTTCTCGGAGGATGTGGTGCAGTTGACATACACCAAAGAAAGCGGTTTCGTGGATCGTAATCCGAACACCAATGTCATCTTAGCGGCGTAAGAATTAATACTTTTATTTGTTTTGGTTTAAGCATTGGGTGCAATTTACAGGTTTACAACATGCTGGGCACGACTCCATTTGTACAAATTTATGGACATGGTCGGGGATCGGTTGCTGTACTTCGATACAGGTACAATATAACTATGGTTTTGTAATCCGCTTTTTTATTCTGCTTTTTAAAATACAGATTCCATTTTCTTTGTGACAAAACCCGGATTGGTTGACCCCCCAACGGGCTGCTTCCTTGGCGATCTTACCAATGAATTAAAACCAGGACAGCATATCGTGCAGTTCATCAGTTTGGGAGCCAAAACTTACGCGTACGTCACTAATGATGGCGATACTGTGGTGAAAGTGAAAGGATTCACTTTGAATGGCCAAACTAGTGAGCAAATTAATTTTAGTAAAATGCTGGAAATGTTGGAGAACCGTGATACAGTTGATATACAGTATCCCGACATTCTGAAGCGCGTAAAGAAGGATTTAACAATTTGTAGCGCTAGCATGAAAAAACGGTTTCAAGTGACGTATGACAAACGTCGTATTGTGGATAGTGAGTACAATACACTTCCGTACGGTTTCAAGTTGTTATGAATTTATTAAACTTTTTGATCATGGTTTCAATCTGTTCCACAGCAGCTGACAAATCAGTATAAGACTTCAAACCTAGAAAGTTACATTTACCAGATGGAAACAAAACAGCACGACCAACACAAAGTTTAACGGCAAGACCGCTAAACAATTCCGGTGTATACTCAAGTTTAAAGTACTGGCTAAATTTTTCTATATGAACACGATCAGTAAATGTGTGGTTAGCTACAATATCAACAATTCGATACCCGGTAATAGCGCATGGAAATCCGATCCTCCTTAGCATTCCAACAAACAACTCCAGTATTTCCTTCGCTTGTTCTTCGGATCGCCCTCCATTTACAGTGATTTTGCCATTGCGATATACTTGGCAGTGTGCTTTGACCGGTTGGAGAACACGAATCAGTAGTCCAGAAAACCGTTGAGGGATATACTGCGCCATTGGTAGAAGTTTTTCAATTTTCCAAAGATCCAGGGTAGTGTTTAAGTCCGCAACGGCAACAACATTGGTGATTCTGGGCATCACAGTGATACCGCAAGGCGAACCGCACAGCTTTGCGGAGGGTCGACACCGGGAGCGAGGTGAGTTTATGATATGGTGGGCAGCCCAGGGATTCGAGGTTTCTCACTTCCGGTAGAAACTGCTCAAGCAGTCGGCACTTCTCAAGGCCTTTGGCAAAAAACCTCACTTGACTGGGTCGTCCGATTCTTTGAAAAATGTCCTCCAAGGCACATGTTACCTGATTGTGTCGGTACTCTCCTTCTGTATGCCACAAGAGCCCGTGCGAGTGTCGAGCTTGACTTTTCAGCGCGGGGATGTGCTTGCTGGCAAATCGTGGAAGCGAGAAAGTGTAAAGGTTTTGTTCATCTTTGTCCGGGCAGTAGAAAGCCAGCTGTTTGATGTACTTGGTTTCATTGATAACGAACCAATCGGTATCCAGTATGCATGGTACTGCCATTTCGTCTACCGGAGTACTATTCAAAATTCCAGTTAACTGATAACGCACAATGCTGTGGTTAGAGTCTAGTAAGTTTATGTACTGAAAACCGCGTATTTGTACTAGGAAGAGGATCACTCAAGTCGGTGATCCATATCGTACAAGTTATCACCGAGTTCAGTGATCCCTATCGTACAAGGGATCACCGAGTTCAGTGATCCCTATCGTACAAGGGATCACCGGGTTCAGTGATCCCTATCGTACAAGGGATCACCGAGTTCAGTGATCCCTATCGTACAAGTTATCACCGAGTTCAGTGATCCCTATCGTACACGAGATCATCGAGTTCAGTGATCCATGTACTTTGCGGGATCACCAACAACGGTGATCCGTGCACTGAAGATCACCGATATTGATAATCCACTAAGTGAATTGAAGAGCGCTATAAAAAGCAAACGTAACTGACAGGTTCTTAACAAGTTGTTCTGTTTAGTGTTTACCTCTTGTTGAATTTTATTCTACATCACCATGGAATTTATGGACCTGTTTGTACCTAAACGACCGCAGACCGTTGCGACCAAAGCCAAACGAAAAAGTCAAGAGGAGGGTGGAAAGCCGGAAGTTAAGAAGAGCAAGCCCAACAGTTTACCGGGCACGATATCTACGCACCCGCGGTTTGTTTTTGCACAACTGGGAAAGCCGGTCTACCGCTTGGGAAACGACAAGTTCGTGTATGTGGGACCTAGTGCCGACGGGAAGATCAGTACGATTCGTGTGGTTTTCGGTGAATGGAAGGAGCAACCGGACAATTCCTGGAAAGCCAGCTACGGGAAGAACGTTTCACTGTCCAAGATCGGTTTTCTTCGTTTGGCCGCGCTCATGCTGACTGAGAAAGCTGACATGGATGAAACGGCCCGTGCTAGTGCCGCTGAAACCGGTCGGCTGACCCCGTTGTACCTTTTGGACAGCAGCATGTATTTTGGTTGGAGTCGTTTCAATGGCACCAACGTAGCGACCATTCGACGTTTTGAAGTAAAGGGAGGGGATATGATCCCCACCCGCTACGGTGTTTCTTTTGGTGAACGCTGCTATGACGGGTTGAAGGACCTCATGAAAGACCTGCAGCTGTTCAAAGACATGGTGAAAATCCAGAAGGAACAAGGGATCCACGAGCCGGTCAAAGAAGGACTAGAGTACGCTATGCTGTGCGAGAACGTTGCTGAGGCTTTGGCGCCATTAGTCAAGCAGCTGGATGATGGTACTATTAATCAATGTCACGAAGAAAACTATCGACCATCAGACGGTGAATGGAACGGTGCTGTGGAGCGACTGTTGGAATTGCGTATGGTGCATGGCATACTGTTCGGACTGGATAAGCTCAGTGTTGAGCAAGCTCTGGACCTGGACGTGGCTGGATTTTTGAAGAAACACGAGGATCAGCTTCGTGAGAATGTGGGTGGAGTTATTACCGCTAATAATTGCTGATTTCCTGCTGTTTTATTTACTTGTACGACAAACGAAAAAAACGGTCGTTGTTTTAATTTTCATTTTAATAAACGTTTGCACATCTGTCGGAGCAAAGCTCCGTCCACCATGGTTGTATTGATGTCGAAAAAAGAATTAACATACTGAGACACCATTTTGTCGTTGCTTATTCGGCTATCCGTAAACAAATGCACAATATTAGTGTACGATTCACCACTACAACGTCGTAGAATAAAAAACAAACAGTATTGTCCACAAACAGTGCTAAATTCAGACTGAAACTGTTCATTTTGTAGAGTGATTTCATTGGCTACCACCAGTGGTTGAAAATACTGTGAGTAGCTCTCCAGTGCTTTTCCGTAAGAGTCAAATACCTCCATTTTACCGGGTTGTTCCTGGTACAGGGCGATCCAGTGCTCGCCTTCTTGGTCAGCTGGATCGGTATTCACCACACACGCTCCCGGAAATGGTGCCAGGGTCGATGGAACTTGATTGCTGGCGTAGACCCCACGAAACACCGCAGTGGTGTGAGAATTTCCATGGAGTGCCGAGGTAATTTCTTGTGTATTCATGTTGTAAAGTCCGCGATCAGTTGACGGTGCTGGTTAATTTCAATAATGCTGTCGTAGACCAGCATACACACCATCATAAGGGGGGATCCATAAATTACGTACGCAAGAACTCCGTGGTTTTTGACCCGTCCCCCCCTCTGTGTCACGGTCTGTCACAAAATTTTTACCCCCTCTAATATTGAAAAACTGCGTACGTCGGTTTCACCGCACCCCCCCCACTTTCGGAAAGTTAACAATAACGAAATTTATTAATCTCACAGTTTTACAATCAAATTTTGACTTTTGGGTTTAGTTTTTCCAAAACTAGTCCCCAAACTGCCAGTAACTACTGGACATTCAGATACTGTATTTGTGCGCAAAACATCCGCAAACCATGTTCGCTGAGTACGGCAATCACAATAACGCACGTCCTCAGGCTTTTGTCCGACACAGACAGACACAAGAAACGCGGCAGAAAAGAAAGCGCAGTTATTGCTTCTTTTGTCCTGCAGCTGAACAGGTGGCATTCGCACACTCAAACCGTCGGCTTCATCGAAATTAAAAAGATCGTGCAAAGTTTTCTGCAGTTTCCGGTTCGGTGACAAGCCTAAAGAGTCATATATGGTCACGACTTTCGATTTGGAGTCATAGAACACGGTGACGAAGTGGCTGGAGACCGCTGTGAGAATCGTTATAACGTCTTTGCCATTAGCGGCGGCACGTCGTAAATGTGCAATCGCATTGTGATCTCCGATGCGAATGTCCATGGGGTCTTCGAAACCGCTAAATGACGAACGGTAGTGATTTTCAGCAATTGCCAGAAAAGCAGCAACAACGCGCTCCGACACTCCCGAGCCGAACGATTCTATCTCTACGAAGTCTTGGTGAAACACATCGATGTTCATGATCCCAGCACTGATTTTTCGTTGGACTTCCAGGACGGGACTGGCATCTTCAGAACTGATCACGACATATGGTGGGCTACAATTTTCCGCAGCGTCAAACACTGGGATAGAGCTTGGTTTATCAACCTGTGACAAATTTTCAAACCAGTTAAAACAAAATGAACAATTTATTGTTAAACAATGTAAGCCAAGATAAATGTCATTGAACTCAGTTTTTACAATAAATGATAACGTCGAATAATAAAACGTTATCCCCCGGTATTTTATTCTGTAAATTTTCTACACCGACCTCAGTAGGTGGTCCTGGAACTTCCGTCAACTCGTCGTTCTCAGCAAGATGAGCCGGTGTCACCTGAGGGAGGTCACTATTTTCCGTTCGTGCACCAGAGCACATATGGGCCAACAAAGCAGTTTTGGTTGCCTCATAATCTCCACATTTACGGCAAACAAGGGAACCAAGCTGCTGATAAATGCTTGGGCAGTAGTAATCGTAAGGAAGAGATTTTCCATATTGAGGATCCAAATTTTTTAAAGTAATTCGTGTTTGCAATCCGAAGAAAGTTCCGTTAGACGAGTCGGGTGTAGCAGGAAGAGGGCCTGTCTCTGACTGTATGTATCGCACTGGAGCTGGCATAAAGCGCTCTTTAAAAATTTCAAAGTAATTCGAGCGCGGTGGTCGGCAACAGTTCCGATCTTCACACTTTACAATTTGTGTGAAATAATGGGATGTGCGGATGTGAGCACTCCGAATGCCCGGAGCGACAAGAGCCGCATGCTCAGTAGCAACGGGCTGGATGAAGCGTGCCAATATCGGATATCCATCGATCTCATTTTCATTCCAGACATCTGCTAAAGCGTTGCCTAGAACAGAAAAACCGTTAATCGACAGACAAGATAAGAAAACTTGCAAATGCGATACCCCCACTGAAACCCCCACGGAAACCCCCACGGGTTTTAACGTTATTCAGTAATAAGTAGCATTCTGGTACGTAGCCCGGAACGGCATAACCCGCTCGAACTGCTAAATCTGTATCCCCACATACCTGCATGCTCAAAATTTTTCAGCTCCAAATTAATATCAACGGTCTATCCATTAGATGACAAATGGGTTCCATGGTGGTCATGCTCTAATAAAATTCCGGCAAGCTGCTTCGATAGCGGCGCCATTCTGCGCTCTACTGGATTAAAAGCAGACTGACCAGGAGCATGAGAGGCAACAAATAAACAGTCCAAATCAAACTCTTTGAATAGAGACCAGGCTTCGGCGATCGTTTTTGGAAATCGAGGGTTTTCATCCGGGCCGCCATCGACAATGATGATAACAACAGGCTTGACGGTGTCCCGTACGTACATTGCATCACGAAAATTTGGAAGTTG